CCCTCCAGCTGCCCCCCCCTCCACAGGTGGATAACCATGGCAACCGGCTGCTGGTGAACGAGGAGGCCTCCATTAATGTCCCGGCCATCGCAGCTGCCCACGTGGTGAAGCGCTACGCGGCCCAGACACCTGGGGAGCTCTCCTTCGAGGTGGGCACTGCTCTGGGGAAGCTTGCAACACCCCCCCACACCAACACACACACACGCGCACGCGCACACACACACACATGCACACTGGGGCACTGTTGTGGGGAAGCTCGCCACACCTTCCCCATTCTGGGGCAGTGCAGCGGGGAAGCTCACGGCCCTGCCCCGTCCCCGCAGGTGGGCGACATCGTGTCAGTCATTGATATGCCGCCAGCGGAGGACACAAGCTGGTGGCGTGGCAAGCACGGCTTCCAGGTGGGCCTGGACCCCCTCACCCTATGGGGAAACTGAGGCAGGGCTGGGGGTACAGGAGTGGGTAGCTCCTGCTGGGCTTTGTGGGGGCTGGGCCGTGCCCCCGGCACCCCCAACAGCCCCTTTCTCCCACTCCCAGGGAAACTGAGGCAGGCTTGGGTGGGGGGAGGGGAGAGCGATGTAGAACAAGCCCTGCCCCAGCCACCTTGGCCCCACCTACCCCTCCAAGACCCACCTTGCCTGGCCCCACACACCAAGCCCCGCCCACATCATTCCAAGTCCCGCCCCAACCCATTTTGGCTCCACCCACATTCACCTCACCCCCTTGGCCCTCCTCCACCCCCTTCTAAGCCCTGCCTCCACTGCTCTTGGTACTACCCAGTTTCCTCCAAGCCCTACCTCCAAGCTGCCCACCCACCTTGGGCCCACCCCCAGTAGCATTGGCCCCGCCCACCCCACCCAGCCCCAAAGGGGGCTTTTCCTGGGGTCCCAACAGCTGGGGGATCCCCAATGCACCCCCCTGCCTTCCAGGTCGGGTTTTTCCCCAGCGAGTGTGTGGAGCTGTTCCCCGATCGCCTGAGCCCAGGGGGCAAAGGAGGTAATTGGGGGCTGGGGTGGGGGCTTGAGGGGTCCTGGGGAGGGTCTGGGGGTG